AGCTGCTCCAGCCCTGGGATCCTCTTGGTTCCTGCTCTGGCCTCTCTCCAGCAGCTCCATGTCCTTGCTGGGCTGTTCCCCAGGGCTGGAGCAGCTCTGCAGGGGGGTCTCACCCGAGGGGCACAATCCCCCCCTCACCTCCTGCCCACACTTTTTTGGATGCAGCCCAGTCTTGCTCATGAGATGCCTGAAGTTGCTCCATGAGCATGAAATGAGGTTTTCAGGCTGCACAATCAACAGAGCAATGGAACAGAACATCCCAGCCCTGGTACTCCATGTCTGTGTGGCAACAATGAAGGGACAGCACATTTCCTGCACAAAGGTGTTCTGTGACACTGGGACATGAAGATCAAAGTAAAGCAGAAACAGTGATGCAGAGTGTTCTCCTGACTAGAGTCAAACACAAAAATTCTCCTTTATAACATCTGACTGACCTTTGAATGAAAGCATAGCTGAACTGCAGCATTGGGATATCCACCAGAGAAGATTTCTGAAAAAGGAAAAAGCAACACCAGAATTATTTGCCATCAGAAAGAAAAAGAAGGTCCAGGCTGTGCAATGCTTGTGTTCAGTGGTTACCACACCCTTCAAGTGAAGCCACTTGTACTCCAAGAGGTGACCAAAGTATCTGTAGAGCAGTTCAGGACAGAAATGCATCCCTGAGTCATAAATGTGCAGCAGCTGCACAAAAATGTCACCGTCCCCTGCACTGGAGGCCCCCACACCTTTTCATTCCCAGCAACTTCTCCAGGAAAATATTGGAATCACAGACTGGTTTGGGTTGAAAAGGATATTAAAGATCATCCAGTTCCAGCTTCTTGCCATGGGCAGGGACACCTTTCACTAGCCCAGGTTGCTCCAAGCCCTGTCCAACCTGGCCTTGGACACTTCCAGGGATCCAGGGGCAGCCACAGCTTCTCTGGGAATTCTATCCCAGACCCTCCCCACCCTCACAGGGAAGAATTCCTTCCCAATATCCCATCCAACCCTGCCCTCTGGCAGTTTAAAACCACTCCCCCTTGCCCTGTCATGATCTGCTCAATAGTGATGTTCTGAAGAACTTTCTTACACTGAGGGATCAAAACACAGAAATCTACATTCTGGAAAACAAAACTTATTCAGGAGCAAAAGAGAATCCCACACTTAAAAGAGAAACCTTCTAACAATGCTGAGCAGACACACTGGGAAAGATCCAGGAGAGAATATATGAAAAAATGGAATTATCTCTGTGGTTACCTCTTCACCCTTGATCTGTGCTGGTTTCTTGACCACCTCTTTGATAAGATGTAAAATAGTGTCAATTTTCAGTGTGTTAAGGGCACAAATTAAGTCCACGAGAATAAGCTGAGATGCACTGGCCACTGGAAGGATCTGACAAAACAAGACAAAGCAAAAGACAAACCCCTCAGACTCCTGGGCCACACAAACCAGCTCTTTGTGTGACTACCCAAACACCAAAACTTATACAAAATGTACATTACAGAGGTTAAATCAAACACAGATCCCTTGGCCATATACAGGTCTTCTTCCAACACCTTATGAAAACAACTTTTTCATAAAAAGAACAGTTTGATTATGCTAAAATGAAAAGAAAGAGGTTCTGATCAGAATAAATGTTCAGTTCCAGAGAACACTGCAGCTCTGGCCTTTCTCTGGAAATGGAATTTGATTCACAGTTTTGAAACCATAATTGTCAAACTGCAATCCTAAGATTGCAATTCAGTGTTGAAGAAAAAACTGCCTGTTACTTCTAGACTTAAACTGCTACACTGTCCTTTATTTGATTATTTATTTAGGTTTAATTGTAGTCCTGATGCTTTTTATAAATAAGAACACTTCAGATTTTTCAGTCACTTGTAAAAAAACCCCAAAGAATCAAGAAACAAACCCAGAGTTTAGAACTGATCATACAAATATAACATTTGCCTTTACACTGGAAAACTAAGGGTGCCTTTCTTGAGTTTCACCTTGGTTTTACTTTGACTCCTGTGAGGTTTCTTGCTGTTCCAAACTGCTGCAATTGCTGCCATCAACTGGATTCCAAGTTGGGCTGTCAGTGGATTCAGGAAGTCCAATATTTTCATTCTTAATGTCTGCAGAGGGGAGGGAAGAATAACTAACTGTCAATGCCATCCTTTGTAAGGCAAAGACCCTCTCAAGATATTCAGAAAACACAAAATAAAAGAACTCTGTAAAATGCACTGATGAGGAGGATGAGACACAGGGCAGCTTAAAAGGACTCCTACTTTGGTTGCTTTAAAGTAGACTGAAGAAGAGCCTTTGGTTGTTCCAAAAAAGTCAGTTGGTCTTTTTTGAGAGTCTTCCCTCTTGATGACACTCCAAAGCAGGGACATGGTGTTGATAATTCGAGGCAGTTCTTCCAGGATGGCATTCCTGGCATTCCTCAGGTTTGCAGGTTCAGCTAAACATGACTAGAAAAAAAAAACAACAAAATATGGATATTAAAATACATCATATTATGCACCACAGAGGCTAAAAATTGTAGAGAACACACCAACATGTTATCAACTCAAAAGAAAATAGAAGGGTTTGTTAATGACAGAGCAGAGAAACTACACAGGACTAATATTTGCATCACCAAGAACATCTACTTAAAATTAATTTTCTGGCTTCAAATAAAATTAGGTTCATCCTCTATCCTTAAACTTTGTTTTGGTTCAATTTTTGGGGTGTGCTGTGAAGTTTCTTTAAGGTTATCTTTTTGTATAAGTGGTTTGCTACCTCTGTTCACCCCTGAGGAAAAAGGGATGTGGACTCTGCTGACCTGGAGCTGAGTTCTCAGGTGAGTGGTGGGCATTAAAACTTACCTTTTTTGTTGGACTAGGATGGTCCAGAAGGCAGAAGTGACCAATGGTTGTCAGACCTTCCAGAAGGGTTAGTGGGTAATCAGGTGTCACATTTTCTCTCTTGGAAGTTAAGCTTTGGAGGAGGATTAAAAACCCAAACAGGTTAACAGGCCAAGGGCTATTTCCTTGATTAAAAATTCCATTCTTGTTTCTATTCAACAGTTAAAACTGGAGTGACCAGACAGGAATATCAAAACAAAGGATTCCCAGACTATTCTTGGACAACCCCATTTTGTTGTTGAGACCTTTTAGAATTTTATTATCCACCTGACTATAAATCTTCAGCATTCAATTACTTTTCCCTACTCCTTTCACTTACTGCCTGTTCTGAACAGCCTCTCTTTTTCTTCTCCAGGGTGTCTCTCCTAAATTAGTCCTCCAAAATCCTCAGTCTTGTCAAAACTGGGAACTTCTTTTCTTGGATGGAAGGTAGAGGGGGACAGGCTGCTGGTTCTCTTTCCTCTCTTCCTCCAACTGCTGCAACAATCCTGTCTCCAGCTCCCCTGGGCTCCAGGGACAGGTGCAGCAGGATTTGGGGATCAGACTGTGGGAGCCACAGTGCTAAACCACGGAGTTCCTGCACACTCACTGCTCTGCACAACAAACCCCACCCTGCTGACTCTTACCTGGCAGATGTTTTGGCAGATGCCTTCACAGCTTCGTTTTCATACTGCTTGACAAGCTCATCCAGGTTTTTACAGATCTGTACCACGAATGGTGCCACAGTCCAGCCCAAGGACTTCCCAAAATAGGGTAGGGAAGAGGTGACCAAGCCCACCCAAGTGGGATGCATCCCATAGCCATACTCCGGCTGCAAACCCCGAACCACGGCGGAGACAAACAACCCCTGGGAAGTGATGGGATGTGGATAGACATATTGCATGGCACCAATGGCCTGCTGGAAGTTGAGAGCCTGCTGCCACTCCTTGGAGAGGTCTGGCTGGTTCTCCTGCTCCTCGGGGGTCTGTCCGAGGTGGTGCTCCAAGACAATCAGCACCTGCAGGAGCTTCAGCAGCTCGATCTGCAGCGGGTGTTCGCTCCAGATCTGGTCGTGGCCAAAGTTGATCAGGCTCTCTTCCCAGAGCTCCTCCTCGGCACTACGGCCGGCCCCGTCCGCCAGGAGCAGCTCGTAGCGTTTCTGACTGACGTACATGGAGGCCGACAGGGACAGCAGGACGAACTCCTGCACTTTGCACCTCCCCAGCAAGTTGCGGATGAACTCCACGTTCCTGCTCTCCGCCGCCTTGGCCACGGTGGCCAGCTGGGCCACCACCCGGATCAGCACCTCCACGCTCTTCACCTGCACGTCCCTGTTGCCCAGGAGGTCCCTGTGGGTGACCTTGAGGCAGCAGGGGTAGTAGGAGCGCAGGAAGCTGAGGCAGAGGTAGGTGAGCAGCTCTATCAGCAGGGAATGGGGACACACGGTCGGGGACTGGGGCTGGAGCTTCCCATAAAAACTCTGCCCTACGAGAGCTTCCTGGTGGCGAGCCAGGAGGTTGTAGATGAGGTTCAGATGTGCTGTGGAGCTGGTGTCCATGCTGGTGCTGGCCACGGCCTCGATGAATTCCTTGGGGTTGGTTTTGAGCACGGCCTCCAGCACGGAGAAGGCGTAGAGCACCCTCCTGGAGTCGTAGGGCTGCAGGTACAGCAGCATGTGCTTGAACAGAGCCTCCACCATCTCCTGCTTTTCCTTCTGCTGCTTCAGCAGCCTGGAATGGGTGATTTCCTGCAGCTCCAGGTCCACCTCTTCGTCGCTCGACAGGGACTCCGAGGCCTGAGTCCTCTCGGAGTCGGCGCGCACCAGGTTCAGCGCCGCGCTGGATTTGGAGCTGTCGGACAGGAGGGAGTTGAGCACATTCCCGGGATTTGGGGCCTCTCTGTCATTGTCCTCGTTGCTCACCTCCTGCAGCTCCAGAGAGGGAGAGAAGGAGGATGTGTTCTCACTGTCGTGGCCCGTGCTGGTGTCCGCGGACTCCGTGTGCTCGCTGTTGTCTTGGTCACCATCTGCTTCCTGGGACATGATGGGATTACAGGGTCCATCATTCTCAGGTTTTAACTCTGGATCTTTTTCCACTTCTGCCCAAATTGCCTCTCTATCCACAGTAGTAAACTGGCTCAGTGGAAGGTTTTCCTCGGAATTGCTCTCGGAGATGGCAGACTCTTTCACAGGGGCCTTTTTCTTGCAAAGCCAATCATGGATAAAGTCTGAAAAAAACACATTTTTTTGGGTCAAAAAGAGCACATAATTGTCTTTTCCACACATAAAATCATATCACAGTTTGGGTTGGAAGGGATGTTTAAAGGTCATCTGGTCAACACAAGGTGCTTTATATTGAATAAACCATTGCAAGAAAAAAAAAGGTTACAAATCTACTCTGCTCTAGCCTCGTATTAATTGTGAGGAGTGGGGTAAAAAATAGGTTAAGGCAGGAATTATTTCTTTTTTAAAGTGGTAGAGCAGCTCTAACCTGCTGTAAGCAGAGAGAACAGGATCCAAACATAAAGCACGTGCTGGTTCTCTTAGGCTGTGACTCCCTGGATGTGACAATTGCCTTTTTCTGTGCTTCCTGAACATTAAATCAGGAGATCAGGAGGGAAACGAGAAGCTCAATCAATCAATTAATTAATTAATTAAAGAGCTAATGTTCTCCTTGATTAAATGCTGTGGAACAAGCTCTGTGTTTCTGTAGCATCTCATAAACAGGTCCCTGTGGATGCTATAAATGGGTGACATCCAGGTATTTGCCAATCCAGACAGGAAAGCACTGCTGCAGACTGACAGCCTGCTAAGAGTCTTGAGACAGGTGACATGGAAGTTCCTTTACACAGAACTTCCAGCTGCTTCTGCACAGCCCTCCTGCTCTGCTCCAGGAAACCACCTTGGCTACTTGAGCCAAATCATGGAATTGTTAAAGTTGGAGAAGACCTTTAAGACCCTCGAGTCCAATCATCATCCAATTCACCACTAAACCACATTCTCAAGTGCCATATCCATATGTTTTTTGAACACTTCCAGGCATGGGGACTCCACCACCTGCCTGGGCAGCCCCTTCCCATGCTTGACAACCTTTTCTGTGGAGAAATTCCTCCCAGTGTCCAACCTGAGCCTCCCCTGGCACAGCTGGAGGCTGCTCCCTCTCCTGTCCCTTGTTCCCTGGCAGCAGAGCCCGACCCAACCCCAGCTCCCCCCTCCTGTCAGGGGGTTGCAGAGCCAGAAGGTCCCCCCTGAGCCTCCTTTTCTCCAGGCTGAGCCCCCCCAGCTCCCTCAGCCCCTCCTGCTGCTCCAGCCCCTTCCCAGGTCCGTTCCCTTCCCTGCACACGCTCCAGCCCCTCCATGCCTCTCTTGCCACGAGGCCCCAGAACTTGGCATGTTCTGCCCTGCCACATTCCTAAATCTTCCCAAATTCCTGGGTGGCTGGAAATCATCTTCAACTCCAAACATCTCTCTTTGCTTTTCCATCTCAGCTCTGCTCTTGCATCAGGGCAGATCTTTGGACACAGGTATTTTAATTTCCAGAACTCAGAAACATCAGGTGGGGTGTGCCCACACAAGCAAAATATTCCTCACAACTTGGCTGATTGTTTTAATGTCATGCTGAGGGAATCATGGACAAAAAGTATTTGGAATAAAGAAACCTGGGGCAAGACTGGATGGAGAGAGTAAGACCTGCCTGTCCATCCTCCCCATGGAACAGTTCCTGGACTGACACAGTCACCAAACTGCTTCTGGATTTCTTTTGGTTGCAGACCTAGTTTTGCTCAAGAAGGGATCCTGAAAACAGTGGACATGCAGTGTGGATCATCTGGGAATGGCAAGGAGGAGTGTGGGATGAGATCCCGGAGCAAAGCAGGGAGCAATCCAAACCAACAGACCCCATAACAAAAATGATCATTTAGGCCTTCAACCAGCACGAGCTACTCCTGAACCCTGCTTCAGGCACCACTGTAGGGACTTGGACGAGGAGGAATCCACGGATCTGATGGAAAACAACTGAGGGGAGCAGGATGCCATCGCGTTTCGGAGACTCCCCTCAGGAATTCAGTCTGATCCAAGAGCAGCTTTACCTGCTGAGTGTTTCTGTTTGATGTAGTGGATGGAGGTGCGCTGTGTCCTGGGATGCAGCAGGAGCAGCAGGATTGGCTCCAGGATCCGGGCCACGTCGTTGAGGGACAGAGCCCGGATGAGCCAACCCTGCGCCGCGGCTCCGATGGCACCGTCGGAGCAGTTCAGGCTGTCCAGGACCACAAACAGGGACCTGAGGGGAGAAACCACAACAGAGACAGCTGAGACCCCCCCCAAAAGGGTTAATGCATCCAGCAAAATCCCGGGAACACACAGGGAGCACGGTCAAGGAAGCACCAGCCAATGGATCACGTCTGCTTCCAACAGCTGGGTCATGCACATCCTCCTGGGCTGAGCTCAGGAACACATGGATTTGTAGGAATGAGGCCACACATTTCCTCACACTCTGCAGGAGCAGCAGATTTCAAAGTTCTTCCCCATATTTATTTAGGAGGAGTCTCATTTTACATCTTCCCCATATTTATTTAGAAGGAGTCTCATTTTACACAAAGGTCTCGTAAAGAGGAAGCAAAACTAAAATAAGATCATTTTTTCCCCTACTTTTTCCATAAGTGGCTGGTGCTATTTTCCTTTTGTCTCGTTTTACACAAAGGTCTTGCAAATACTAAAATAGGCAAAACTAAAATGAGATTTTTTTTTTCCTACTTTTTTTCCCCTGACTTTTCCCACAAGTAGCCGGTGCTGTTTTCCTTTGGAAGACAAACCTAACCCACCCCAAGACAAAAAAAAAAAATATCTGCTATGCAGGACCTTGTTTGCAAACTACTCTTCACAAATGAAGCTCTTTCTATTTTTCCAGCACCTTCCTTCATCCAAGAAACCACTCCCTGCACTTGGAGTGCTCTGCAAAGGGAACAGTGCCAGGAAGTGGAAGATCTTCCTTTTGCTCATTGTTTACTCTCTCTCTCTCTCCAGAGGCCTCTTCCCCACATCAGAAAAGAAGAGACTAAAGCGTGAAATAATTAAATATATAATTGCAATGATATAAATGCACGATGTAATTAAATATAAATGCAGTTCCAAGCCAGTGGAAATGGGAAATACCTGTCAAAGGAGCGGTTGTGAGAAGTCACTCTGCTGCCTTGGATCTCTCTGGTCAGATGCCACATGACAGAGAACCTGAACAGGGCCTCCAGCCTTGTCCCCTTGGCAAGGAAAACGAGACAGACACAGATTTAGAATCATGGAATCACAGACTGATTTGGGTTGGGAGGACCTTAAGGATCATTTCCTTCCATATATCTGTGAATGCACAGTGGAAACCCAACAGCCACAGCGTTTCTGGAGCATAAAAAGATGTGCCAGGTACACCAAAAATGTCCTTCAGGACTCCTGTGCATGGACATTTTAGTCTTGGTTTGGTGTTAGGGAGGTTTAAAAGTTGGGTGACAGCTGGGAGGACATTGGTGTATCAGGCAGGGGTGGTTGTGGGGCTTTTTGTTTGGAAGCTTTTAAAAGATTTCCAAATGTTCTCAAGCCTCAAAATTGCAAAGATACAGGAAAACGACAGCAAAGGGGCTGGGTTGGGTTTTATTGTGCAAGGCACTTCTCAAAAATGTACTGGCAGCTGTTAAAGAACTGCTCTGTCATTAAGGAAAGGAATTAATAACTGGCTCACTTTAAAATACAGCTTAATCTGAGAACCAAACACTAAGGTGGACAGGGGGTCAATGTGATGATGACAAACATTTACAAGGTATTAAAGTCTTTTGTTGGAGTATGAAGCTTATAAAATCAATCCAAAAATAAAGTGATTTTACACTTACTGGTGGAAATACTGACAAAAATGACAAGGTTTTAGATACTGCAGGATTTGGGCTGAAACTAAGAAAGCTCCAGCACGGACTGACAGAGTTTGTATCCATGGATTAAGTTCAGAAGTAGCCACATGATGAATAAATCCCAGGGAATTGTAAAGGCATGGACAGAATCTGTGAGGACAGAGGGATGATGGGAATGAAGACAGGGGGTGGAAGGGAATTTGGGAAGCACTGGAACAACTCAGCAGTGATGAAGGGGCTTCAGAGGATTCAGGACTCACTTTATCCCTGTCCAGCAGAGCATGGCAGATGATGTCCTCACAGATATTTGCTGATGGGGCCAGGCAGTGCAGCCTGTAGAACAGTTCCACACAGGGAATGTGGTGCTCCCGAGTCTCCTTGTTCAGCTGGTTCCAGAGCACACAGGCTACTCTCTAGGGAAAAAGAAACAAATAAACATAATAATAATAATAATAATCCTCATCATCCTCATTTCTTTCCTGACTTCCAAGCTTTCCATTGCATAAACACCCCAAATGTTACCAATACAGATTTCCAATTTGTCTGAGAATCGTGGAATTCTGTGAGCCAGAGGTTCAGGGTAGGAAAAAAAGGAGAGGAAAAAGGACAACCTGGTAGAAATCTGTTTTCTCAGAGATCATCTTCAGGACTCCAGGAGCGATGGGAGGGAGGGTGACCATCTGCAGCTTGCCCAGGAAGGGGTTGTGGCTGGACACTTTGTAGCGCTTCATCCTGTCCTCGATGACCAGAGCCAGGGACTGGGAGTGGTTGATCACCTCCAGCAGGGTGAAGATGGACACGTTCTGGACGTAGCAGTCATTCACACAGCAGCAGATGGTCATCAGGGACCTCAGCCACAGAGGGAAGCTGGGATCACAACCTCCTCGGAAGGGAAGGGAGACAAAGGGTTGGAATAATCTCCAGGTCGGGGGCACGTTCCCAAGAATTCTCCAAGCAAGGTCACAGGACAAAAGAGACAAAAATGACTTCCTAAATCCAAGTATTGTGCTAACATAGAATCACAGAACCAGCTGGGTTGGAAGGGACCTCTGAGATCATCAAGTCCAACCCTTGATCCAACCCCGCCGTGGTTCCCAGCCCATGGCACTGATGCCACATCCAGTCTGTCCTTAAACACCTCCAGGGATGGAGAATCCACCCCTTCCCTGGGCAGCCCATTCCAATGGCTGAGCACCCTCTCTGCAAAGAAATTCTTCCTAATATCCAACCTAAACCTCCCCTGGCACAGCTGCAGACCCAGCCCTCTTGTCTTGCTGATGGTTGCCTGGGAAAAGAGACCAACCCCCCCTGGCTCCCCCCTCCTGTCAGGGAGTTGCAGAGAGTGAGGAGGTCTCCCCTGAGCCTCCTCTTCTCCAGGCTGAGCCCCCCCAGCTCCCTCAGCCTCTCCTCACAGCACTTGTGCTCCAGTCCCTTCCCCAGCCTCGTTGCTCTCCTCTGGACCTGCTCCAGCCCCTCCATGTCCTTCCTGAGCTGAGGGCCCAGAACTGGACACATCATCAGTATTTCATACAATCTTAGTTTGGGTTGGAAGGGACCTTAAAGATCAGCTTGTTCCAATCCCCTGCCATGGGCAGGGACACCTTCCAGTAGCCCAGGTTGCTCCAAGCCCTGTCCAACCTGGCCTTGGACACTTCCAGGGATGGGGAGTCCACAACCTCTCCATGTTTTCCCTACTTCTCCCAGCAGAAAGCTCTTGCAGGACCCCAGCAACCCACATAACTAGTGGCTTTCTGCTTTCCAGTTTACATTTATTCACAACTAGTGGTCAGAGCTGCTGTTTTCCAGCTGCCATTGTCACAGCCAGCTCCAGAGGGCTGCTGATCCAGGGATGTTTTTCCAGCAGCATGGAGGTGTGTCATTCCAGAACCCACCAAGCACACAGGGAACTGGGATGGCTGACATCCAGTCAAGCCATCTGCCTCTCCTGAGGGAATAATGCCAAGTCTGCCATGTCCATGCCAAGCAGAACAGTTGACCCATGGAGATGATGGGAATATCACCACTTGGTTAAGGAAGGCAGCAGAAATGGGTAGTGAGGTGAGGAAGAGAACCCCATTTTCCAGTTTCTCCCCTCTCCATTCCCTACAAACCTATTTGTCAGTTGGTCTTCAGGCCAATAACTGAAGCTGAGGAATGAGCTGGAATTCCAAGAACAGGCCCTCCAGTTATACAAGATGATTCTTACATGTTACATTGGACTCCTTTGAATTCTGAGGGTTTGGGAAAGAGATGGTTTTGCTTTTGTTATGGTTTAGAGCTCATCTGCCTCTAAAACATCTTTTTTGGGGGGAAACATGGCATGTGGACAGTGGGGGATGTACATCCTGAAAATCCTGAACTGTGCCACAGGGTCTTTTCATCCCTTCAGCTACAAGTTTTGTAGTGAAACTTTCAAAGGAATGTGAATTTGCAAAGCTTGGTAAATCTTGTGCCTCAGCTGCAGGACACAACACACACGCTGAGGTGGGCAAGTCTTTAATTCACAGGCAACTTCAGCCCTGCCAGAAGGGTTTTTTACTGGCCCTGGTCACGTGTCTTTGCAAATCCCTAAGCTCCCACTGCTATTTCCATCTTCAAATGCTCAAGTTGCCCAGGAAAGGAATCTTTTCTTACCAGGAACCTCAAACAGAGAGAGATACAACTGTTCCATCTCCTCCTCCGACAGGTAGACTGGGAACGTGGTGCAATCCAGCAGAAGGTGACAAGCTGCAGAGAAAGCTTCCTTGCAGTCACCTTTAAGGGGTCCCAAGACCAGCATCACTTGTTCCAAATCCCACTCTTCTTCCTCCTTTTCCTTTTTACTCCCAGAGTCGTGGTCAGGGAGCAGAGGGCTGGAACTCTTGCTCCTGAAGGGAGAGCCCCGGGCTGAGAACAAGTCTGAAAGCATTTGTTTAACCTGAGGCACAGTGATCTGCTTGGCATCCCAGGGACTCTTTTTCTTGCTGGCACTCTCAGGGAACCTGTATCCATTCTCCTTTTTCTCCTTCCCACTGGGACTCGTTGCTGAAACGCGCTCGTTACTCGTTTCTTGGAGCTGCACCCCAAAAATGTATTTACTGGAAAACTTGGCAACCAGCTCTTGGATGCACAGCAGAGTCTTCTGGATGCTCCCCCCTTTCTTCCAGACATCATCCCTCTCCAGGGTCACTGTGGGCACCCCCAGGTGCTGGGAGAGCTCTGGGGATGAGGCACTCAGACCAATTCCACTGTCCTCTGACTTGAGGGGCTGGAATGGAGCCTCCTCCTCCTCCTGCAGCACTGACTTTGTCTCCAAGGTTATGTCCACATCTTCCTTTGGCACTGGGCTCTGAAACAGGAATGTTCATGTGGTTAATGTGGCACTGGCAACAGAATCTTAAGCTGGGGAACAGCAACCTACTTCCTAAAATTTGTAATTTCCAGCTACTTTTACAAAACCACAGGATCACAGTTATTTCTAAGCAGTTCCATTTAATTGCCTTTAAAACCCAGCAAGTGTTTGTATAAACCTCATGCCTGGACTCAGCAAACACCAGTGGATCTGTGGCTACAGGTACTTAGCAAAGGAATATTTCCTTAAAATCAATGTACCACCAGAACAATGTCACAAACACTGGATTACTTCCAGCCAAAGGCACACATTTGTTCTGCTGGAAAACTCTGGCAGGCTGTGCTTGTGTGGCTGCTTGATGCCATTTATTCCTCATTCCTTATCATGGGCTCTTGCACACAAACAATACCCCATTGTGTTCAACTGAAATATTAATTGAAAGCCTTGCAGACCTAACCAGCTGTGAAGCTGGGCTTGATTTGGCAACTCAAATTTTGAGCTGCTCCCTGCTGCTGAGTGCCTTTTCCAAAACCATTAAGCTCACACTCTTCTCAAGAGGCAGGATTACAGCCCCAGTGTCAGACAAGACTAAACTCCTTCAGTGCCACAAATAACTCTAACAAGCCAGAACTGAACATCCAGTAAGAATAACAAGGCATCAGATTGCTCTGGAAGGAGCAAAAGGAGATAAGCTTCAAAAAAATCTTTACTGCTGCAGTTCCATATTTCATGGAATCACAGAAAGGTTTGGGTTGGGAGGGACCTTAAAGATGATTTTGTTCCCACCTCCTGCCATGGGCAGGGACACCTTCCACCAGCCCAGGTAGCTCCAAGCAAGTGTCCAACCTGGCCTTGGACACTTCCAGGGATCCAGGGGCAGCCACAGCTTCTCTGGGAATTCTATCCCAGGGCCTCCCCACCCTCTTCCTGATATCCCATCTAAACCTACTTTCAGTTTGAAGCCATTCCCCCTTATCCTGTCACTCCAGGCCCTTGGAAATATTCTCTCTCCATCTTTCCTGTAGGCTCCCTTCAGGCACTGGAGCAACAGTCATTATCTGGGTCTTAAGTTCAGAGAATTTGCATTTTAAAGAAGTTATGCCAGAGTTTTAAACACCTGTGAGGAGTTCCAAAACACCTACCCCATTTCCACTCCCTGTCTCGATGTCCAGGTAGGAAGGGGGCATTTGCACCTTGCTGAGCACCTTAAAACAGGTCTTTAAGGCATGAGTGAGTTCTGGCAAACCCAGCAATTCCATGTTTTCCAGGAGAGACTGCACCATGTAACTGAGCATCTGGGGCAGATACTGAGTCTGCACTTCAGAGTAGAGTTCCTAAAACAAACAAGCAGTGTTTAAAACAGTTATCACACCCTCATCCTTCACTGATCACTGAGGGATAAAGTCAGGGGGCCTCACCAAAGGGATCACATCGAGAAGGAACACCAGTAGTGTGCAGAGCTCTGAAATTGTAGGAGGAGTGCTAATATTTTCCAGAGGGTATCTCATCTCTGAGGATTTGTTTCTGCAGTGAAAGAAAGACATGTTGTTATGGGAGTTTTTGACGTCAAAATTGCAGTTACAATCAAAAAAGCCTCGTTAAAACCAGCACAAAACACTGAACAGCTTTCTGGAGAAAAGGACTTTTAACACAGCAGGATAAAACACTCTGTCAAAACCACCTCAAACTGCACGTGGGATGTTAAAGTGCTGCCAATTTTCAGGTTAAATCTCTATACACAATCTTATTACTTAAAGTATAATCTTTCTTAGAGTTAAAAAGGGTTAAAAAGAGATAACACAGCATCACAGAATGGTTAGGTTTGGAAGGGACTCTGAAGATCATTTAGTATCTTTATTTCTCTTCAATCTTTCTCCACCTCCCCTCCCAACCCTTTTTCCTCCTTCAGCTGTCGTTTAGAGAGCAATTTCTTCTGTTCTCAGGTTGATAATTTCCATCTAATTGTTCACCTGCTTGCATTATTAAATTATCTTAGGACACAGCTTATATATCTGGCTGGTTCTGACATGTGTTATGTCCCTTCCAGAATTTAAAAGCTTCATTATTATCTCAAACAGACAGCTCTGGAATGGCATTTTTTTAAGAGGACACTATTGCTGGAAAACACAAACACCTGAAACAATCTTCAAAACATCTGGTCATGTAATCCCAGAGGAAATCCGTGCTCAAGGAGGTGATCAACAAATTGACTGTTTTGACAATTTCTGAGGCGTTTTTGTTCTCTTTGATTGCACTGTTTGAGGGGAAAAACAAGGGAGAGAAGGAGCAGATGTCAGTGAGGATTCTGAGAGCACACACATCATAAAAAAATAACATGGATTATTTCAGATCAAACACTAAATCAGGCTGAAAGAGCTGGAGTTGGAGCATCTTTCTCCCAGATGATGCAAATCCAGCTTTGGAAGTCACCAGGCAGAGCTGTGCCACCACCCTGACTCTTGGCTGATGTCACTGTGGTTACTCAACACCCATCACATGCAGTGAACTTTATTTTTTTCCTCTGCTAATGCAAGAGAAATCCACTGTGTGTGGGGAAAAGGGGAAGCCAGAGAAAAAAAATCTCATTTTCTCTACAGGAAGTCACTTTGTTCCGACCCAAACCTTCCTTAAACTGCTCGATTTTAGCAACTTGGCTTAAAATAAATGATCCAGTTTCAGGTCAGGGTTGAAAAACTTGCCATTGTACCTCGCCAGGATGTTGCCACTTTGGTTGTAGCTGAGTTTGAGATCAGAACCAAGGGCATCTTTGCAGTAGGAATAAAAGGCTCTGATAACTTCCAGGAACAGATCCCCAACCACCTGTGGCCCTGCAAGAGAAGGGAAAAAAGAACTCAGGAATTTTATGGCACTGGCTCTACATTACGCTTTAGCCACTGGAATAAGGCACCTACAGGAACTTCTACATTAATTTGCAGTTCAAGTGCCAAAAACAGTCTCCATGGCTGTGTCCATAAGGAAAACAAGCAGGTTTCCCAGTACACATTTATCCCAGTAGCCTTGCTCCCATTTTGAGGGACAGAAGCTGGGAAAAATCAGCAAACTGAGGAAGTTCAAATG